GATAAAAGACTTGTACTCAAATACTTACTGAACTCTTAAAACTCAGTTAACACCTAGTTTTTAAAATACGAGCAACAAATCCGAACAGATACTTCACCAAAGAAGATATATGAATGGCAAATAAGCGCCTGAAAAGATGCCCAACATCATTTTTCACTGGGAAAATTGGTTATTTCAACTACAACGAGATACCATTGCAGTGGGAACCCTCATTCATTGCTGGTGGGAATGCAAAATGGCACAGTCACTCACTTTGGAAGACAGTTTGGCAGTTTTTATAAAGTTAAATACACAATTACCAATGACTCAGCAATCCCACTCGTCGGTATTTACCCAAGCAAAATGAATTGTTTGTATTAAAACCTGACATGAATGTTAAATGATAAACAAACCTTGATACATCCATACAATGAAATACTCAGCAATAGAAAGAAACAGCTATTGATTCACACAAGATGTATGAATTTAAAATGCATTTTGCTATGCAAAAGAGGCTAGACTCAAAGGCTACAAACTGTACAATTCCACCATGTGTATGACATTCTGGGAAAAGCAAAATTACAGGAATGGAACAGATAAGTGGTTGTGAGGGGTGGGGTGAGGGGTTGAGTACAAAGGGGAATTTTTAGGGTGATTGAACCATTCTGTATAGTACTGAGACAGTGGACACATGACTGCGTTTGTCAAAAACGATACAGAGTAAATTTTCCTAGTGAAAAATCAGCTGGGATGTCGAGAGATCCCAGATGGAATTCAGAGTGTGACAAATCTGTTTTACAAATGTATGACATAACCTCAACGAAAGGAGTGGGGAATAAAATGAGCTGAACTAAGTTACTTTGGAAAATGAGTGAATACTATAAGGCTAAAGACAAAACAAAGTACTTAAACACTATACCCTAGTTGGTCAATTCGTTTCTCACAGGGGTACAACGTTAACTATTCTGAAACCACTTTATAAGTATTCTAGGGTTGAACAAATAAGCAAATAAATCGTAGATAAAAAGAGCCAGGTTTCTCACCCTCAGAGAAAGAAGTTATGAACAAGCAAAGAGGCATAACTAGAATGAACCTTGCAGTGCTAGATGAGAATCAGTTTAATATACATACAGATAGATGGATCTAAAAATAATTATAGAGATGTGTACCTATATATTTGTTAGTATACATTCTCTTAGGTCATTTCACTGGGAAGTTGTAGATGCAGTAGCAGCAAGCACACCTAAACCACAATCTTGGTTTCTAAGTACCATTCTGCAATGAAAGGAACCAGGGCTCCTTGGAGAAATAGGCTAATTCTAGGGCTGGCATCCAGATAATACCTGCAGTGCTAGAAAGTAAGACTATGGTCAAAAAAAAAAAAAAAAAAAAGATGAGGGCACACCAGAAGGATTTAGGAGCCAACTTCAAAGAGTTCCCAATAGGCAAAGCTGAAACAATTTGCACAACAAAATAAATAACTGTACTGGATTTTAACCCAAAGTATAAAATAAATAGCCATGATTGCATACTAATATAAATAAATGATCAAATAAATAGGGGAAAGGAACAAATCTTTAAGAAAATTTGTAAAGAATAGATATTACTCCTTCGAGTGTGGACTAGACTTAGTAATTCACTTAAAAAAAAAAAAAGAGTATGGAAAGTGGGAAAAATGGTACTTTACAGTGGAAAAACCTAGCAGACACCACCTTAACCAATGAAGGAACATCACCAATAACGCCTATTAACATTATGTACCCCATGATATAATACAGCATGGAAGGGCACACAACCGCTGTGCTATATCCTTCCTGATAAAGCACAACCTCAAGTTTAACCATGATAAAACAACAGACATACCCACGCTGAGGGACATCCTACCAAATCACCAACGAGTGCTCTTCACAGTGTCACGGTCATGAAAGACTGAGAAACTGTCACAGATCGGTGAAGACCAAGGCGGCAGTGATGAGTAAATTAATGCAACGTGGTATCCTGGACGCGGTCCTGGAAGAGGAGAACATGGGAGGAAAATGGGTGAAAACCAAATAAAGTCTGTAGTTTAGTAAATACTATTGTACCAATGTTAATTTCTGAGTTTTGACAGATGTGCCATAGTTTACATAAGTTTTAAACGTTAGCGGAAGCTCGTGGAAGGATATAGGGAATATCTCTGGACCACCTTTGCAATTTTTCTGCTAATCTGAAATTATTATAAAATAAAAAGGTTATTTTTTTTAAAAAGGTATAGGAAAATGTCAGCACTGAAAGCATGTCTGTATTTAAAATTAAGGAAGGGGCTTACAGAAGATTATACACATTTTCACAGCAAGTTGACCAACACCACAGTTTATTTGTAAACATATTATATGTGTCAATAATCAAATTGACAACACTTTATACATTTCACTGTATAATATTAACAGCATACCAGAAAAAAAATCCACGGTGCTCAGTTACAGTTTTGGTATTTTAAAATCTTTAAATACAAACCGTATTTGAAACACTGAACATAAAAAAAGAGAAACACAAATGGCAAAGAAAACTGGAAACAACTAAAAGAAACCAATATTCCCCCCCGCAAAAAACAAATAAAATATCTGATTACACACTTTGAAAGAAAAAAAGGAATCAAGAAAATCAGACGATCATATATTTTTTTAACAACATAAAGTTACATTTCTTTAGACCTATGTGATAGGTGAAATTGTACCATACTAAACTCTATGTCCTTTTTTATATTTCTTTTTCTCTCTTGGTTTCTGAAGTTTGCCAATGGTTTAAGCTACTTTAAGGGCAGAAAAGAGGGGAGGCAGCACAAAGCCAAATGAAACATTTCTGCAAATGTTTACTTTAAACATTTGCAGAAAAACTGGATAAAAATTCTTTCACAAATTTTCTTTGGCAAATAATAAATTCTGTATTTATTACCTTTTTGTTGAATAGGATCAACACATAAGATTTAAGAGATGCATCTTTACATGAGTTAATGTATGAATGAAACAAAGCCAAATTCACAAAGTAAAGGATAAAAGTGGCTTTCACACTTTGCTAATAACAGCTTTAAAAATGCAGATTCTCCATCCTTAAAAGTATGAGAGGTCTTCAGCTGGGAATCGGAATCTTTCCTCATTCACATGAGAAACCGGAGTTGACTACATGTTTTTTCAGTACTTTCCCTAAAATTCATGATCATTTATTAGGTTCTATTTCCTCCTCTGTTAGCTCTCAAAGGAAATACAGCAGCAAATCACTCCCATATTTTAAGTTTTAAATTCACCAACAACTGGGTTCACTACCAACAACTACAAACATTCAATGCTTCATTAGTGTACATGTCACTACCGTAGGCTAAGCTTGTTAATAACAGAAATAAATAAAAGAACAGTTAATCTGAGCAAAGCAAATGAAAATGAGATTAAAGAGCCCTGATCAAATGAAATACTTACAACTTTCAGTTGAAAAACTGTAAAAGTTACATACATACCTAACAGCACTAGGAATGTACAATATCAATTATTGGAAAAATAAATGAGTGATTCACAGTTATAAGAAATTATTTTAATATTAGTATTTTTCCTTTTATACACAAACATTTATAACATACACTTGGTTTCTACCTCATATTAAGACAAAGTAGAATACTAAACATTACTGCATTTACCCAAACACAGCACTGACTGTGCCACAGGTAACCTGCTCCAAAATACTCAATAGGGAGGCGACAGTACTGAATGCATGGTTATGTTAACAGTTTGAAGAAAGACACATACTTCCAGAAGTATGTTAAATAAACAAATGTCAGTTCTATAAATAACAAAAATTATCAGCAAAAATGTTTAGGTTTAACCTTCCCAAATTTTCTAATGCTTTAAATATTTTAGATATATGTTGTTTGACCAGTTAGATTGGTTAGTTTTAAACTAGCAAACCATCATCCTATGAGAAGAGCTAAACTAAACTATATCACACTGCACAAACTTCCCAAGCAAGGTAACTTGAAAAATCTAAAAAGTGATTCCAATTATTCTATTCAACATTTGAGATACTAAAAGAATCAATGACTCAAGAAACATTTTGAAATTACTCAATTTTTCTTTATCATTTCCTCTAAAACTAGTCACATAAACTTAAGATCCGGATTGCTTATGTCCTCACAGGAGGTTTATCACTAAAGTGTTCTGATCAGAAAACACAGCCTTAATGCCTCTAATATGTAATTCTAAGCTGAAATCAAAATCCTTGGTTTGAAAACATCAAATCCAATTCCATAACATTCATGGGTAGAGCTACTAAACAAAAATAAATCAGGGAGAAAACGTGCAGCAGCCACAGCTACAAGAGTGGAAAATAAATTCTATTTTTCCATAAAGACTCTATGAAAATATAAAGCCCAAAATGAGCGACAACTGAAGTCCACATATAAATGTTGTTTAAAAATAGAATGTTTTCCAAAGCTTCTTATGAGATGTCAATGTATAGTCATAGTCTGAGTTAAGACCTTCTAAATCAAGGTTAAGCCATACATAACTATGCTGATTTACATACCTTCAACAATGTTCAACCGATATACATAATTTACAAACATCCACAGCAATTCTTAATGCCCCATCAGATCATCTCTCAATAATGGATGTTTATCGTTTTATCGTTTTGCTACTTTAAATACCAAGAAGCCTTTTCAGAGGAAGAATTCTACCTCTTCCCACGATCCCCTAAAGAGTAGGTAACAAAATATAAAATTAAACAAGATTTATGTTTGATAAACATATAAAATTACCACTGCAATATTCATAGTGACTGCTTATAAACATAACAGTCATCATAAAGCCTATAAAGTATATCCTCAGTTTTATAAAAGAAACGCAGATTGTCTCAAGGTAAAAAATACAGTGCAGACTGCTAAAAAGCTCTTCGTTGCATTAGGAGGTGCAATAATGAGGAAAACTTCAGAAAACATGAACGTGTTCCCCAAACTCTAACTTTAACATCATTTAAGCATGAACTGCACTGCAGCAGCAGGATGCTTTTTAGTGGCTGGCAATATAAAGCTAATGTTAAGAAAGAAAAATGGCAGAAAGTGTGAGCAACAAATGATGTAACCAAATTATTGCAAATGGAGATTAGCGATAAGAAGTGAGGAAGGTGAACGTCCACTCCACTCTGTTAAGATGCCATCTTTAAATATTAAGTTCTTTGCAGGAAGTGGGACTCCCACGTCAGCACAGGATGACTGTGAAAGCAAACTTGGAAAACTGGCCTCAGTGTGAATATCCAGTGTTGAAGCACCTTCCTAAAAGATCAAGAAACAAGAGAAAAAAAATTCTATTCAACATTTTACCAAACCACTTAATGTAGCTAATGAGAAATAGAGACCTTGATTACCTAAGAAATGTTTATGGAATGGCAAAGCACTATAGGAGATGCAAAGTTGTACCTCACAAACCCAAAATAATCAATGATAGGTATTAACATGCAGAAATGACTAATACACTCAGATGATGACAAGTGCTTTGAAATAAACAGAAATAACATGCTATGAGAATATGGGATGAGAAAAAGTTAATTCTTAGACAAAAACCCTCACACAACATTAAGCAACAGAACAATCCATCCTCCCAGGGCTCTCAGATTCACACATTCAGCAGACTTCTCCCCAGAACTCCAGGCTCAAACCTCCACCTATCCAACATCTGTTCTTGGATGTTTCACCATAAATTCCACACTTAGCATGTCCATAAGCAAACTCTCAAATTTTCCCCCACTGGTTCCTCCCCAGTCTTCCCTGCTCAAACTAGTCAAGAAATAGGAAAATCATTCTTTATCCTTCCCTTCCTCATCACAGCCTCAATCCTTCCTCACATTTAATCACCAAGTTCCATCAGTCTCCCTCCAACGTGTATCCCAAATGAGTTTACTTGACTCACTCACCATAGCCACCACCATAGTCTAGGCCAGTGGTCTCCAAAGTGGGGTACTCACTCTAAAGTGGGGTGCAGTACCATGAAAAATTTTTAAATCCTGTATCTACTTATTGCATCCGATAAAATTCCTGGTTTTGTGTATCCTTTATAATATACATAATTTATTATATTATTCCATGTTTAACAGTATATACATGTAATAAACCTTTGTTATGGATATACGCAAATTTGTTTTAAACGAAAAAGGGTGTTCGGCCACCAACATCTCTTACTTGGGCTATTAGAGCAGTCTCCGAACTTGTTTCTGTGCTTGTCTGTTTTTAATCTATTCTCTAAACAGTAACTAATCTTTTAAAAGAGTCAATTAAAAATGATGTCATTCTCTGTTAAAAGTCTATTATAATAGTTTCTCTTTGCACTCAGCATAAAATACATACTCTTTAACATACTCCAGAAAGCTCTCCGTTCTTCTTCAACCTCACCTCTTCCCATCATCCCTCTTTCACGAGGCTTCTGCCACACTGGCCTTCTCGTTTCCTTGCAGGCCAAGAGCCTTCCTGACAACAGGACTTTCGCACCTTCTAACCTCGGCCTGGAATTCTCTTTCCCATCCTTTAGGTTTCAGCTTATGCATCATCTCTACCTATTTAAATTAGGTCTACCTTTGGATTCCATCAGATGTGAAGGAGCTTGGCTCCTTCAAAGCACTTACTGAATTCTGTAATTACTTCACATATTTTGACGTTTACTCGACTATGGTCTCATACAACACTTAAGCTCCATTAGTGTCTTAGACATTATTGTTTCCCCAGCACCTGCCTGGTAAAGGGTCTGGCATAGAGTCGACTCAATCATTTATTGAAAGAATGAATGAAACCAAACTCCAAAATACTGATTTCATAATGTTAGAACAGATATACCAAACAAAAATATTCCGTTCTAAAAGTTTATCTACAAATCAAGTCTGGAGTATCCTTTCTTTCCTTGGGGGGAAGATAAAAGGTCTAGAGCACTGGCATTCACTACCATAACAGACAATCCCCTCTCAGCAATGGAGAATCACTGCAAGTTATTAATGGAAGTGTACTGACCCAAGAACCAGCACCTAGCACGGTGCATGGCCCATGGCAGATGCTTAACACACTTCCGTTTAATGAAGCACCAGCACAGAACAAACAGTCAAAGCTTCCTAAACACCTGGCAAGTGAAATCATGTATAAGTCAGTTAACTTCCTGAATTTCAGCATCTTTGTTTATAAATTAAAATGCATAAATAAGCATGAAATAATGCTTAATTTCATGTCTTACTGCTGTGGAGACTCAGAACAAACATGGAAGTGTTTTGCAAACTATAAAAGCTCTATGCAAATACCATTTGGATTTTTTTGGTTTTTGTTACCTGGAATGAGTGAACAAAGTTAAGGACTTGTAGAGACAGTTTTCTACTGGAATGTAAGAGGTTCTGAAGGCTGAAAAAATGGGGAAAAGTTTAAAACAAATATGACAAGAACTAATATCTCACAAGAGTTTAATTTTAACAATTTAAATGCATTTATATATGTATCTACATCTTGGTTAATTACATACAAATTTTAAAAAAACAATTTCAATCGTTCCCATCAATGAAATTTCTGCTTGTTTTAGTAATACAGAGTAACAGTCCATAAAAAGACCATTTCGAAATAAAACATCATGTATAACCAAAATTGGAAAATTATTGTTAAAAGTTTAAACTACTACCAAATATAAATGTTAAATACAAGAAAACTTCTAAAATAAAAATTTAGGTACATATTTTTCAAATATGTAAATTGGTAACAATTATAGTGGCAATCATTAAAACTATATAGAATTTCTTTATTTTATTCATGCATGTTATTTTATTTTCAGGATAGCTATTAAAATTATTTGTCAGTTAAGTACTTTTAATTTTCTGATATAAGCTACACTGAGCCAATTAAATTAATTATTTATTATCCAACTTCGTTTTCCTAAATAAAGATGTCAAGATCTGTGGATATCATCTCTTCAAGCCACCCACCATGACAATCAGATTCAATGATACTCTTTTCGGCTAAACCAGACAGTCTCAGAACCTTTACAACGCTGACTCTTAGCAGCCATTCCCAATGGATCAGAGTTGGCATATGAGATAAAACCTACATGTCATTTCTGATAATATGTGCTCATTTTAGAAAATGTGGAAACTGAAGAAAATTTAGAAAGTCAGCCATAATTCCACTATAGGAGATAATCACTATTAACATAACTTGAGTGTGTGTATGTTGAGAGAATTTCTATTGATATTTACATATTAAAAAAAACTAGGTTCATACAGTCATATAAGCATGCCCATTTTAACCGTACTCTCACCAAATCTGGGTAACTAAGTAAATATAATTAACCAAGACATGTGTCCAGAAGACTTGCATGTGCCTAATTTCTGAGGTACTGAACTTTAATTTTAAAATACACAGCAAACCCTTAAACTAGCCATTTTTATTCAATCAACAAATAAACACAAGGCAAGTACTATGATCATGTGTGAAATAAGACAAAGTACGATATAGCAACTAATACTGAGAGCTTAAGAAGTCTCATAGATGAAAAGATGACAACAAACATAAACCCTCACCTCTCTCTTCTGCAAAGGCCATGTGTAGCAATTTTTCTGCACACTTTCTGGTTTAATTCAGAACTAAACAGTGGAATTCCAAAGCACAGCTCAAGAGGAACCCAATCTGCCTCTGTTGTGGCAACTACAAAAGGATATATAAAGTTATTAATCATATATATATTTATATATATTATGACCAACCAGGGTTTCTTAACTGAGCTCCAGAGATTTTCATAGATTCTTCCCATCCCCCACTGACATCCACCGAAGGGCTTAGCAGGGGAGAAGACTCAGAGAGGGGATCAGTGGATCTCTGAAACAGGAAAGAATGTTTTTTGAGTATGTACATGCTTCTGGGAAGAAGGCATACAGCTTTCAACAGATGCTCAAAGTGGTCTTTCACCAAAAAAAAAAAAAAAAAAAGGTCGTGCAGGACAGCTACATGATGAGAGAATCAACATAGGAAAAATAAAACATTTTTATTCTCAGGTCATAGTTTTATAATATTTTAACTAACTTTAAATATTATTCTAAATATATAAAATTCTTTCCTAGAAAATACTTATGAAAAAGTCCATTATAATAAGAGCAGACAAACGATATCCAAATGACTTAACAAAAGAGTCAAACCTCAGAAATCAGTCCAAGATTGCAAATAATTTTTAAAGCCTTACCAGAGTTTTGCTTTGTGGCTGAATCTATAGTTGCTTCCTCAATAACCATTTCAAATGACTCTGTACTCCCATTTACATCTGAGCCAGAAGCCAAATCAGGTTCTCCTTATAATTAAAGGGCATACACAATATTAGGATTCTAGTAGTTGGCACAGGTTGTCAATAAGTCAGTCCTAACATAAAAGAAGACTTCAGGCAACAGAAATGACAACGGAAAACAATGAACAGTCTTTAGTCTAAAGCAGTTGTTCTTAAAACGGGGACAATTTTGTCCCCCAAGAAACATTTGGCAACGTTTGAAGACATGGTTTGGTTTCCATGAATAGGGACAGGGATGCTACTGATGTCTAGAGATCCTAAACATCCAACAGTGCACAGGACAGCCCCCCACAACAAGGAATTATCCAGCTCCAAACATAAATAGTACTGAGCTTGTAAAGCCCTGACCTAAAAAAAAAAAGGATTAAAAAGGCAGAACACAAGTTTAGACCTTTTAGAGAATTACTAAAGTCATTTCTATCCCCATGGAAACATGCAGTCTGATTACATCATTCCTTCTCAAAAAAAATTTTTTTGACTCCCTGTATCTTTCAGCATGAAAGATCCTCCAAGACCTTCTAGATCTCACTTATTACTTCTCTACTCTCATCTACTACTGCCCAACAAACTCTTTCTTTTGGCCAAGATGAGCTACTCTATTGCCTGATTCTCTCTGCCTAAAGGTTGCTACCCTCTAAATAAACAACAATCATCTGTGTGTAGCGAACTCCTGACTTTTTAAAATTTAGTTCAAACTTTACCTTCTCTAAGAGGCCTCTCTGATAGCTCACCTGGGCTGGGATATGCCTTCCCTGTCCTACTTTAGCACTTCAAGAAGCAGACCCCCATATCTCAGTCTTTTAACACTACACAGTAGGCTCATTCACTTGCTTGTCTCTCCTTCCAGGCCTTTATTCCCTAGGACTTAGTAACAGAAATATCTCCAACACCTAAGGAGGTATTTTGTAAATGTTTATAGAATGAATGAAATAAAACATGACAGCTACAGTAGACATTCATTGAAATGACTGCCTAACCCACAGCCCTCTTCTCTCAAAATGCTCCTGTGATACCTGGCAGTCAACTGTTTAAAGTTACCCAACTCCTCTGGCCAAAGGTAAATGGACCAGGAGTGGATACTAATTCAATCTACTGGATGGCTAGCAATCAATCATATTTTCTCAGGATTTCAAACTAAGAGGTTCAGTGAATATAGTCAATCAATGATAGAGACTTGAATTAAAAGGTTCCCTAGAGTCGTGGACCAGAGGTGACATCATGGCAACCAAAGCCACATACAAGCCAAAATTATGCCAGAACAGAAACAATCAGTAACTATGAGAAGGTGATTTGAAAATGAATTTTTAAATTAGAAAGAAAAAGGTATCTAAGGAAAATTAGCTGTTGTCAATATGCAGGACAGGCTGGAGGCAGAAAGAAGAGAATGAGGCCAGGAAGGCTAAGCAGGAAATGGTCGCAATAAAACATGTATAAAGTATCAAAACTCAAGACTAGAATGGCAGTTACAGAGAATTAAAGAGAGAGGGAAAGAAATGGATACAAGAGACATTTCTAAAGACTAATTCACAGAACTTGGAAACTAACTGGGTTGAGTGGGAAGGGAGAAGGATGAGATAAAGATATGATCTTTAAGCCCTGCAGAACAAGACCATGGTGCCTTGACAGAAAGAGGAAAGCTGAAAGGGAAAAACCACTCATTCTAGTTTGAAAACAATTTTACAAAGAGACTAAAGTTTTGAAACCATCACCCCATAAAGGAACTTAATTTAAAGCCTATAAACATAAATATGACAGTAAAGGGCTAAAACCCAATAACCATTCTGTATTCTAACCCCAGGTCATCACTTCTTTACTTATGCTCTTAGTATTTTCTCCATTTGAACAACTGACATTTGTCCCAACGATGTCACAGAATATTTTCTCATCTTTCAGTGGAAAAACATTAACTATTAAATAAGTCAACATCCGCACAAAGGTACCCATGCTTTTTAAATATTAAGCTTGTGATAAACTCAGTACCGATTATCTTAATTCAAAGAACCCAGCTAGTGGCTAACCTCTCTCATCAGAAGCATCACTGAGTTTTCTGTTTGCAAGTTGGCTAGAAGCATTCAACATGGTGACATATCCACAAAAATGCTGCAAGTCCACTTTGTTCCTTAACATCTGCAATGCTTTATGAACACCCATATTGACACGCGTAAACTCTAAGAACAAAGAGTTGACATCACATTATAAGTAAATAGTTTTACAACAAAACACCAAAAACTTAAATATATTTTCCTTTTATTAAACAATTCTTAGAACTACTTTTATATTTTATCAAGATTGATTCCAATGAAGAAATCTCTCTGGATAAAAAAGGATGCTGTACACATACAACATATTTACAGACTTCAGAAGGCAACTGATGTAGCAAAACAACTGACCTGCTAAGTAATGAAATAGGGCCAGTCAGTGGCAAATTCTCTAGGCTTCTCTTTGTAGTTCTATTCTGCCTCAAATACTTACTTAGTGGGTTTCTACCAGGAAATGCATTAAATACACATCATATATTTTTTTTAATTTAAGAAAAGTAAAAAGTATTCTTATTGAAACTAAAGCTAACAAAGTACTTGAAATTATATCCCTAATAAATTAAATATCAGCTCATTCTCACAAATATGTGAACTTACAAATGAGAAAGATGCTCAATAACCAAATATGAATATTCCTCTTTTTTAGAATTTGCACAGTAATCTCCAAAGGCAAGAGATTTCTTAATCAGTTCTTGAGATTTTGTGATTTTTAAGATCCTGCTGTCACTATCCTGTATCTTCTGAACAATAAATTTTTCCATAGAATTTATAAAGTATGAGAGAATTAGCTAGCAAAGTTTAGTTGCAGAGAAACACTTATTTCTGAATAGGGGCTATTTTTTGGAAGAGAAAACTCTCTTCTCCAAATTTTGTACACATTTATTCACAACAGCCAAAAGAGAGCACTTAATTTCAAATGTGAGGCTTCTGCAGCCTAGCCATGTGGAAAAGAAAAAATACTTAAAAAATCTTCCTTTTCCCTGCTTTGGGCGAGGAAGGGCAATGGTAACTAACATTTTAGAAGAAAAGTTCTTATATGAATTAAATTAAATTACTTGAACAATTCCCTGCTCTCTAAAATTCCAAGCAATATTCTAAGAAGAAAAATAGATTAGAGAATGAAAGTTTTGCATGGAGCAGGAAACACAAGTGCTATATAAATATACGTAAGTTTTAATCAGAGAGTATTTTTCTTTTGAATATACATACTTTCTTAATATTCAAAAGAGGAAAGGTATTTTTATATTAAACAAAAGGAAGAATGATTTTGCGTTTATAGAAATTCTCCGAGCATCTTTCATCAAATGTATTGTAGCTCACAATTCTAAAAAGAGATAACATTAAACAGGCTTTTCACCCTTGATTCGAACCCACTAAATTTAGCTCAGACTTTGCTATTCACTCAAGTCCTCTCTAATAGGAAAAATAAAATGTAAAAAAATTTTTAATTAATTAGTTAAAAAGTAAATTAGTGCTTTCTCATTTTCTCTACACAGTGACTCTAGATTCGGGGCTTCTAATACTATAGCGCAAACTTAAATCAAAACACATTGACCATTAATAAAAGTATTTTTTTTTTAAATTTGTTTCTGTAAAAAAAAAATGCTGAAACAGGAAATACATGCAAGTTCTCTGTAAACTGTAAGTTAGTATACAAATGTTCATTAGTGTCCATAAAAGCCCCTGAAAAAAAACAGTATGTAACACTGGGGGGAAAAAAAAAATCAACTTTCTAAGCATAAAATCTTCCTATGACTTGTCTTCTTCCCCAACCTCCAAATAAATAGACAATAAAAGGGAACTGAAAGGCCAAACATACAGAAAACCTAGTCTTCCATCTACATAGCTACCTACTTTGTCTCTTCAACTCCAAGACAGACTAGTATTCCTTCTAGGCCTAGGTCCTAAATGAGTCTTATTCTATTAGTTCTTTGTAGGAACAGGCACATGACAGAAAACTACTTTTTGCCAATACTCTTTAAAAGCAGAATAGTTTTAAGACCCTAGAACTTAAAATTTTTAAGAATTTACTTCCTGCTATGTTTCTACCAAATTGTGGACAAGATTAATCATAAAGAAGTCAAATGGATACAACTCAAAATTGAGGTACCTCCTCGTAGTTCTGTCTCATCAAATGGGAAAGGTATGTGGACAGTTTCTCCTATCCCATGCAAACCATGTCCCTAAACACGAAAAAACACAAGTTGAAAGAAAGGTATACGTGAAACCTGTATTTCCAATAGTAGACACTCAAACGATAAACAAGACTGTGCCTCGTGATGGTGTATTCCACATTAACACTCCATCAAAATGCTCTGAACAATTTTCTATTTTTCTCCAGCGAGTAAAGACAATCTGAAGTCTATATTAACCTATTAAGGCAATGTGTCTCAAATTGAGTGTATGGACTAATGAAAAAACAGGTAAATCTGGTGTCAGGCAAGTGAAGCCTTAATGAGATCAAGTGCACTCACACAAGGGTCAGCTGCAGTGCTGAGAGAGCAAAGTGGTGGAGGATCCCCACGATCACCTGGCACACCATGGACTAGGAATATAAATCTCAAAAACCTGCACTGAATGACACATGTTGAAAATTATTTGCTGCAACATCATAATTATATACGATTGGAAACAACCAAAATGCCTGTCAGTAGGGGACTGATTAAATAAATTAATGTATGTATTTTCAATGCAGCTGCAAAAAAGAGCAAGCTCTCTACAAAGTGAAATGGAAAGTTCCAACTGCTAAGTGGAGAAAAAGCATGGGGCATCTCAGAGTGTAACCGCTTGCACATGCATAAAGAAATTCTAGGGGCTTCCCTGGTGGCGCAGTGGTTGAGAGTCCGCCTGCAGATGCAGGGGACGCGGGTTCGTGTCCCGGTCCGGGAAGATCCCACATGCTGCAGAGCGGCTGGGCCCGTGAGCCACGGCCGCTGAGCCTGTGCGTCCAGCGCCTGTGCTCCGCAACCGGAGAGGCCACAACAGTGAGAGGCCCGCGTACCGCAAAAAGAAAAAAGAGAAAGAAATTCTAGAAGGGTACAGCAAAAACTAATGCGGCTGTCTGACCTGGAGGAGAGTTAGGGAGTGGGCACTGGGTAGAGTGTCAGAAGGGCAGTGGTACTTTTCTCTATGCACCTTTTAATCGTGTTTTATTTTTGAATCATGTGAATTTACTATCAAACGTTAAATTGAAAAAAATCTACGAGTCTAACCACGCCAGTCCCACATTACAAATAATAATTTACTTTCATCCATCACACTTCATTAATGTTGTTCATTTAAATTTTGTTAGTCTTTTGTATTTAATTCCTAAATTCACTTTTGCTTTGCAGTTGTGTAAGAATGATAAGCATGAGGAATTTAATTTTATGTTTACATGTATTTTGAATCGTTATAATAGAAAATTTAACACTGGGGGTCTATACATTTTTTCCCTTTAAGAGACCCATACATTATTCAAATTCAAGATACTGTGACATAAAAGAAAAAAATAATTTCAGGAAAAAAATCACATTCATTTATTTGGTCTATATAACAACTTGAATGTATTTCTGACTTCTTGCTTCTATTCCACTGATACATTTATGATTTTAACCCTAGACAAGATGGCTATTATAAAAGCATGGTTTTAATCAAAATCTTAACTTTGTTGTTTTAAGTTCCAGCAAGGTGAATTCTTCCATAAAATTTAATGAAAGAGGCATCCTTTAGCAAAGGCAGAGCTCCTTCCTTAACGAAACCTTAAAACTCCTTGCTCTTCTCCCACCACCACAGCGAACATTGTTTCAGATCTTCCGATGCGCTGAACAAAGGTCTAAAGCATTTTTACATAGATCATCCATTTCAGTCATTTGTCAACAACCGTATAAAGATAAGAACTGTTATCATCTCCAATTTGCAGGTGAAGTCACTGAAGTTCAAGGAGGTTATTTAACTTGCCCAACATTGCCAATAAGTGGTGGAATCAAGATGTGAAGACCCTTCAGTCCATGTCTAACCCACTCTACTGTGTATCTCCCCCCACCCCTACTTCATGTCTGCCCTGGCTGGCTGATGCATCGTCTCACGGTTTCTACTACCATCCATGTACTGATGCTGACACTCAAGTCAATCTCTCCTGTTCAACCTCTCATTTGAATTTCAGAATAATTTCAATTACCTCCTAAATATCTCCACCACCCAAATGTCCCACAGGCCCCAAACACACCACCTCACCTGCCCCCATAAACCGGCTCTGTGTGATATCATCATTCTTCCACTTTCAAAAGCCAAGTACCTCAGGAATCATTCTTCCTCTTCCCACAGCCATCTCAGACATCTGATCAATTCTATTTATTTTATATTTGTAATAATTCTTCCTTTTCATTCTTATTACCACTTCCGTGACCTAGGCTGTCCTCATCTCTTATCTGGTCTCCAACACTGAATCCTAATCCTGTCTTCTCCTACCCAGCCATTCTCAACAGTCTTCAGGCTGATCTTCCAAATCAAAACTGACCATGTTAATCCCCTGCTCAGCACCCTTTACTGGCTGCCATCAATCTAAAGGGGAAAGTCTAAGCACTACAGTGGGACAGTTAAGGTCCACTGCCCTCCAGGGCCTGCCTACTTCTGCAGACTCATCTCTGACCACCATCCCATCATACTTCAGCTCACCCCACAAAATTACGTAACGGCTTACAGGCCCTAGCACATGCTCCCACTTCGTATTCCTATTCATTTATTCAACAAACACTCACTGAGCAACTTCTACGAGTCAGGCACTATTTTTGGGCACCAGGGAAATGGTTATGAAGAAAAAGAAAACAAATCTCTACCCAGAGATTTATTCATGCTGACCCCTCTGCCTGGCCTCGCTCTCCTCTAAATCAGCCTTTTCTATTTAGCCTGGGTCTCATTTTCTCTAAGGAGCTTTCCCTAAGCCTTTGTCCTTGTCCCAAGGCTAGAAGGATACTTCTCTTTAATGCTTGCACTGTATAACTCTCTTCAGCGCTCAGCAAAAAAATGGAAGTGACTGCTTATGCAACTTTTCCCACCAGACTTTAAGTTTCTTGAAGACAGGGACCACATCTTATTTGTATATGCACATTAATTAGTACAGAATATGGCAAGTACAACTGTTAGTTCAATGAACTAATGAAATCTTTACAAAGAGCCTATTACATACCAGAAAGTGTGCTACACACGTCATACACACCTTCTCATTTCATTCTCTCAACAATCCTAAGGCTAAAAATGCTTACCTTGGCATTAGCTGTCACTATTATTTTTTGTTGTTACACAGTAGATATTACCATCTCCATTTTGCAGATGGGAAACTAAGTATAAGAGGAGTATCTCTAAAATGTTACACACCACTTCACACCTGCTGGGGTGGCTATAATAAAAAAAATCAGATAATACCAAGTGCTGGAGGGACTGTAAAATGGTGCAGTTCCTTAAATAGTTAAACAGAGTTACCATATGACTCAGCATTTCCACTCCTAGGGATATACTCAAAAGTAATGACAACATGTTCCCACAAAAACCTGTACATAAATGTTTATAAGTGATTATTATTATTCATAATAGCCAAAAGGTAGAAGCAATCCAAATGTCCATCAACTGATGAACAGATAAACAAAATGCGTTTCGTCGTACAAGGGGATATTATTTGGCCATAAAAAGGAATGCAGTACTCATGCTACATGATGAACCTTGACAACAGGAAAGAAGCCAGTCACAAAAGACTACATATTATATGATTCCATGTATCTGAAATGCCCCAAGCAGGCATTCTAGGGAGACAGCAAATACATTAGTCTTGCTGGGGCAGGGGTGGGGGGTGGGGAAGTGGAATAGGGGAGTGAGAACTAAAGGTCCAGGAAAATGTTGTAAAATTGAGTGTGGTGCTGACTGTAGACATCTGTGAATACTCTAAAACCACTGAATCACAGAATTCAATTGGGGAATATGGTATGTGAACTGCATCGCTATTTTAAGGCTACTATTAAAAAAAAATAGGGCCACACAGGTAGCAAAAGATGAGGCTGAAACTCAAAGTTGGGTCTAACTTCAAAGCCTTTGCTGTTTCCACCACTCCCAAGCTGCTAGACAAAGGCCAGGACTAAAACGCAGATCTCTGTTTCCTTACATTTCAGTTTTACAAATGTCAAATTACAGATGTCTGATTGCGACTCAGCAGAAAGCTAGACAAATTATGACCTTTAAAATAAAAATCCAAAACTGACTGTTTCAAATAAGGTAACTGTACCTGAATCAAAACCGCCGAATGTGTTAGGGCATCGTTCAACATCGTGAGCACATTTGATGTAGGAACCACCCCAGGATCATGACCCCAAGAAGTTATTAGTAATCGATCATAACCCTATGGGAAAGAAATGAATAAAACACAGCATGGCATTTAGAAACAAACAAAAAATAAAATTAAGAAAGTTATCTATAATACTGCTTACCAGTTTCTATCCTCCTTAAAAATGATTTTTTAAAAAACCTCATTCAACATACCTGGAATATATCCGGCAGTTTTCGAAGTCTTGTACCTTTGGACAGCAAAAGGGACGGTGGTCCTTGCCTGGTGATATGGTAAATGTACAGTTTAAACCAGACAGAACTGACTTCTGGGATAGCTGGTCCAATATGCTAAAATCATAAAACAGGTAAGATAAAGTTGTAAATACTTATCTAAAGAGGCCAAATTTCACAAATGACCAAGTATATTCTTAAAGCTAATGCCTCATGTAAGTGTTAACCGCTATTATCCTTATGAAGATAAATTTTAAAGGATCCATTCAAACAGTTTCAAACTTACACTGGAATTGAGAAAGCAGGTCTTATCAATGCAATTAAGAGAATGGACTCTGGAGTAGATGGCCTAAGTCTGAATCTTGGCTTCATCCCCTCAGCCCTATCACCTAAGATTACTTAAGCATTCTTGTGCCTCATTTTGCTCATCTGTAACATGGCAACAAAATACTTATCTCTTAAGGACATTGTTAAAGGTTTAAAATAGTACCTGGAAGCACATAACAAGCTCTACATCAAAGTGTTAGTTATTACAATCATTAATAATTTTTCTCAAAAGGGACTATCTATCCTTCCATCCATCTTACCATTCATCCATTCATTCAGTTCATGGATTCCTACTATGACCAGAGGCTGTGTTAAAGAACAGAAGGAAGTGTGTGTGTGTGTGTGTGTGTGTGTGTGTGTGTGTGTGTTGGGGGGGGCTGCAAATCTACAATCACTCC